GAGTTTTCATCGTAGAATGGCGTGGTTACATTTATTTGCTCTTTGACTAAAATGTTTAGCTGTATTATTGCTAAACATGCCGTTTTTGAGAATTTGATTTTCAACTAGGTTGAGGCATCCAACCACGCCATCACTCCCAGTAAAAACATTAGGTCACGTCAGCTAGTTTCCTATCCATTTATTTTATTATCCATGATAACATATAACATGCACTTTACTAATCACAGTATATAATATTATCACAAATGAAACCTTTTCTTTAACTATGTAATATTAATACTTGGTAAATGATATTATGAAAATGAGTACTTCTTATATAGAATATTATTTTAGGAGTATTAAAATGAAATTTTAATGTATGTTGAAAATTGGTAATTGCTAGCTTGCCAGCGAGATGTAAACAAAATAAGATTCCGCGGTAGAACAACCACGACAACAACGAACTTTAAAATATCATTATGTAATCAAGCTCAGTGATTGATGGTAACCAAGCCTTAAGTCGATCCGGTCCATGCAATTTAATACACAATGCAAACAATCAATGCTACCACAAACGTTTATTATAAAAATAAAATTAGAATGCAAATAAGCGAAATCATACAAGTTAGCTCCAATGCTAAATCTTTATAACATCTTGCGCGTGCGCAGAACTCGGTAAACTTGATCTCTTAAAATGTGTCATGAAGATATACTTCTCAGATAAACCGATACATCCTATATTATCATGTCGTCAATAATATCTCACACACACGTTTTTGTGGCTTTAGACATGATTCACAAGAGCGAGGCTCCAAGGAACATGGTGTTATTGGAAATTGACTCAACTTCCAATTAGCCTTTCTTACGCCGCCATTTTGGGTGCTATTTCAGGCGAAGTCTGCGAGATAAGTCCACATAACAGCGATTTTTTATAAATTTTTGGACGAATGATGGTAAATTTGCTTTGTATATGGTTAGTTTATTTTGAAAAATTGCTTTTCACATTGTTTTAATTGTCTGCATTGGTTAACGAGAATTAGATGCTACTCAAAAATTGCGGATATTTGTCATCGTGAGAAAGGCTAATTGGGATTCCAATAGAAAATCGAAGTAATTCTGTTACGTTAACTCGTATACTTAAATTTACCTAGCTTTAATTATAGCTTACATTAGCATCATTCAAGTATGTGGCTCACTTGCTTGAATTTGCTTATAAGATACACACTCCTGTTGGACACTATATGGACTACATTATATAAAACGTGCCGTGCAATGATTCCGATGAACAATACAAGTAATAAAAAAATGATTAATTTAAGCATGTGCATGATACTGTGCAACCATTGAAATAAAAACATTCAAACTGCGTTAATAAAGCGAGAGATTGTATACCTGATACAAGAATTTCGGAATATATAGGCCCTACCTGAATTTCGGAAATATAGCTTGTAAAACGCATCAAAATAGTCAAAATAGTCAGAAAAAGAAATAAAACTTATGATAACCGAAAAAAATCGCCAGAAAAAACTTAGAGAGGCTAATGTGTAAGCTGTACAACGTGGTTCAACAACTCATTAACATTGAACATCATTTTCTACGAATTTGCGTCATGAATGATTATAAACATTTTACAATTATACTGAATGTTTCTAACATTTAAATTGATTTTTTTGGTAAAATCAGATTTTTCCTTTTCAAAGAAAATTACTGTATAACGTATGGTCTGTGTCTAACGTTTTGCAGTACGTGCAACGGATGTGTTGTCTCATACATCAAAGGAACGAACATTATATAGAATAATTAATTGTGAAATGCGACAAATGCCAGAAAACGCTTCTATTATTGGCGCAAATTCGTATTGAAACACACAGAAAAAGTTTGCCAAAGACAAACGTTTCTTGTGCACTTTTATTTCCTCCGATACTACTGGCTATAATTATTGTAAAATAGTTTCCATGTACTTTTACTTCAATGGTGCAACTGCATCTAGTGGTAGCACTAAGTAAGTGTTTGCATGTCCATTAGTATACTATTATTTCATCGCCATAATAATCATATGCATCCGTCACTGCAGAAGATCTGTGTGAAGGAGTAGTGACATTACGAGGCATGTTGGTTTCTTCATATCTGTGTCGCACGGTATGTCGCTCGCTGGGTACTTTGCATAAGCTGAAAAAAAAATTTAAAATACTAATTAGCAATTGGTGTGATAAAGAAGTACAGTTGTTTGGCAATGCGCATGTGATGCGATTCAAGAAACTCGAAATTTTATTCGGAATAATGATACGGCAAAAGATTACTCAAATTCCAATAGGGTACACGTTGAGAGATTGAAATCATTAATTTTTTGAAAATGTTTTACAGTATTCTTTTCAGCAGTATACTGTTTATATCAACTACAAAAAAGTTTATAAAATGTGTATTAAACATTTTTAAACTTGCAACTCTTCGCATGAATAAAACACAAAAATTATCGACTGGTTATAAAACATTGTAAATTTAACTGTACCAACTATCAATATTCTGTTCTGTTAACAGACGAAAAAGTGAACATCATGTATGCAAATTGTACTTCTGTACACTATGTACTGTTTAATAAACGAGCAGGAGTGTTTTATTAGGTTTAAAGCCACGAGCGCGCAGCGCGAGTGGCTTTAGACCTAGTAAAACAACACCTGCGAGTTTATTAAACGGCTTCAAACAAGACTACAAATTCAATAGATATACTGCCTTATTAGTATTCTTTATATAAAGAATACTAATGAGGACACGACTACAATAGGTACTGCCTTATTAGTATTCTTTATATAAAGAATACTAATTAGGAGTGTTTTATCAGGTTTAAAGCCACTGCACGTGGCATATTATGGTTGACATGATTTGCCAATAAGCTTATGAATTATTAATGAGTGTTTGAATACTTAATTAAACTTTAATAAGCTACTCTAAGATAATTGCACCTGTTCTTACAGTATCACTTACTTCAACCCAGCAATTACAACCAGGATGAAGGCGATTAAGAAACACAGGACGAGCCAAACAATGACTGCTATAACGAAAGCCCTGACTTCATCAAGTTCATTTTTATCCACTGTAATAAAAGAATGTTAAATAATGTCATAAAACGAATTTCATAAATTAATAGAAGCAATAAGTATAAAATATATTTATAATTTATATTTATATAAAAACCATGTGGTAATTGATTTTATGTAAAAATGAAAGTAGAAAAAATAAGGACACATTATTTGAAAACACACTTAAATCCATGCATGTAGTTCTATATATACATGTATTAATTGTACTGCTATGTTTGAAGTAAACTGTATACAACGGGTAAATTAATTCGTGGAATAATTATATATTTGACGAGTACTTGTGTTCAAAAATTTTCAGTACCATCTCATAGAGCATTGAACGCATGTGCTATATTTACATTGATAATTTGGGTAATGTTTCATTTATCATGTGGATATTTTTGTTGTTCTAACTGGGCATTTTAATTTGTAGTCAGTTAATTAATATACTAGTTAATGAAGTTGAAACATGCATATAGTATAAATATAGCTGGCAAACTAAACTTCTAATTAAATTATAATTAATTCCAATTAAAAGACTGAATCAAGGGTACATACCATTTCTCTGGGCAAGCAAAACTAAAAAAGCACAAGATATAAAATTAAGACGTAATTGATGAAAAATTATGCAATGATATTGGAAGAAATCTTGGTAATGTTTAAGGTATATATTGTGTCAGAGTACACAATTACTGTAGGGTAGCTAAAGGATCATAGTGACTGTTTTGATAAACCGCTTTAATTAACATTTGGTCTGTATATTTTTCGATTTTCTATGGACATAAATAATAGTACTTACGGATACAACCAGTGCCATCGTTGGCAAATCCCTCATCACAAACACAATCATAACTCATATTTCTATTGACACAAGTTGCGTTGTTACCACAATCAGGGGTGTGGATAATATCTGGTGGATTGCATTCATCGTAGTCTGAAATGAAGAGACGTTATACTCTGCTCACGGTGACTTTTGGCAAGTTCATATTTAGACTGTAACTCGTATCATGCATGCCCTTGGCATTCTAGCGCGTGTTTATAGTGTGCTGATATTTGTTGTATATAGTAGGAAGGTGAAAAAGTTATCGCAACTACCTGTTACCGAGATCCCACTCGTAAGATAAATTTATATAATCCTGTTTTAAAAATTCTCTATCCCGGCCAGGCGGGATCATTGCATGTCAGACTTACCTTGAAATGTTAATTCGTTTGCTACTTCATTCAAATCAGTTTTATTGCTGATTTTTAGGTCGCTATCACCAATAAATGTTCCATTCTTTGTCGCATTCAATACTCCAACCAATTCTTCCTGTATCATTTCATTATTTACACCTGTGGTATCGTTGAATGTTGCAACATAGTCGACGCCCACAGATCCTTGACTGCAAATTGCAATGTGAAACAATAATTTGGAAGAGGATTTTGAATACACGATTTATAAAAGTCAAGGTAAGACTTTTCGGAAGCCGATGGCTGAAATAAAGCAGAGTTGCAGAAACCTCGCGATATCTTCGAATTAAATAAGTTATTTGATATGATATTATTATATCATTAAATTATGTTCATTTAATTAGTTGATTATTATCATGTGATTATGGAATAAAAATTACTATTTTGCCGAGCGTGCAATGGAACGCGGACTATACGTTTTGCTCGTTAAATTTCGTTCCTCAAATTCTTAATAGTATCCTAATCGTACCTTATGCAACCTCAATCTTCATGAGGTCGATGAAATTAAATTCAGATGCATGATAATTTGTACCAAGCAAAATGGCGGTTGTAAAAATCACTAAAAATATTCATTTTTTCGATAATGCTGAATTAATTCAATGCCATGCATTGTTATACAGTATTAGCTCATTCTTCAATATTTTCATGACAAATTTGTTGCATTTTTAAATTTTAAGCATAATAGAAAGAAAGTTCATGGATGGAATTACTATTACAATAGTTTGGCAATGATACTGAGCCAAAAACACTTACAATAATCTTATAATGAAGATTGAATGAAACTTAAGACTCAGCGTCGAAGTTCTTCTGTAGAGTCTGCTTAGCTGCAATATGATTATGAATAATAATAATATTAGTATGAATCTCAAATAAATTTATACTTCTAACTAAATTCAGATAGGTGCATGTTCTTTGTTCAATAGTTAGGTAACTTTTAAGTCAATTATTCTTCGCATGGAAACTCCTTTTATAATCTATCAGCTACAAAAATTTGAATCTACTGAAAAATTTGAATATGTGTAATGCCCTAACCGGAAGCTGCACCGAAAATTGGCCAGTACATTTTCCAAATTGACTTGTTATTGGACCAATTTCTGTACTTCACGCGATATATATGTATTTTTCAGTAAATTTAGGAAAACGTTTCTCACTTTAACTTAAGGCCCTGTCACACTATTGCGTATCGTACTAGCGTATGCCAGCGTATGAAAAATATCACTCATACGCCGGTATACGCTGACATACGCTAGGGGTACGTTAGGCATAGGTTGTATACGTTTCAAGCACGGTCGCATACGGTGGCATACGGCGAGGCAGAAAATATTTTTTAAGCATGTTCAAAAATTTTCTGCGTATCGGACGTATGCTTTATACGATAAGCATACTCTAGGCACACGCTGAATACGCTAGAGGTACGCCAGATGTACGGTACTCATACGCTGGCATTTCAAAGGATTTTTGTGCGTATGAAAATTATTTCATTGATTTTCATACGCTTCTCATACGTTTCTCTCATACGCAATAGTGTGACAGGGCCTTTAACACAGTTAGTAAAATATTTATTTTTATGCATTATTTCTAATTTCACCCAATTTTCTACAAAAGTAGAATCTCAATTTTCTAAGCAGAAGAAAGCCGGTTCGGGAACATATTTCGGACATTAAAAATAAACAAAATACATATAACACAATATAAATCATAACAAGAAGGAGCCTACAACCATACTAATAACGTAATAGTTCTTTTCGCTTCAAGTCGTAATTTGTGTAACATAAGAAAAAATGGCTCTACCTCGATGATTAACGTCTGAGTAATTTTAAAGTATGCCAAGCTTTTTCGATTATTATAAGCCGCCTTGAATTCACGATTAACAATTCGAATTTGCCCTTGGACAGACGCCATAACGTCTACAGAGAATAGATTAGATAAGTTAGATTGGGTTAAAATAAAATGAAACCGTTGAATTTCATGCGGATTGTTACTAGGGAAAGTGAGCTAGTAAGTATAGGTATTCATTTTTCTCGTGAAGGTTAACAAAGACATGCAGGATATTATATTCCGCGTCGCGACCAATTAAGGTTTTGCTTAGTTCAACCAATGCAGTGTTAATATACCATCCAGGCTTGAACTAAAGGTGGGATCACTAAGTTTCGAGCCGAACATGCAGTGTTTTAAGGTGGTAATATAAAGTTAAGCACCAAGTAAGGTATAGAGTAAGGCAGGCAAGGTGAGGTAAAGTAAGGCAACATAATTTGTGGTAGGTAATTATAAATCTCAATGTAACGTATATATAGTATGGTATGGTATGGTATGGTATGGTATGGTATGGTATGGTATATGGTATGGTATGGTATGGTATATAGTATATAGTATATAGTATATAGTATATAGTATAGTATAGTATAGTATAGTATAGTATAGTATAGTATAGTATAGTATAGTATAGTATAGTATAGTATAGTATAGTATAGTATAGTATAGCATAGCATAGTATAGCATAGCATAGCATAGCATAGCATAGCATAGCATAGCATAGCATAGCATAGCATAGCATAGCATAGCATAGCATAGCATAGCATAGCATAGCATAGCATAGCATAGCATAGCATAGCATAGTATAGTATAGTATAGTATAAGTATAAGTATAAGTATAAGTATAAGTATAAGTATAAGTATAAGTATAGTATAGTATAGTATAGTATAGTATAGTATTGTATAGTATAGTATAGTATAGTATAGTATAGTATAGTATAGTATAGTATAGTATAGTATAGTATAGTATAGTATAGTATAGTATAGTATAGTATAGTGAATAAGTAAGTGAACCCAGCTAATTTTAGATTTCAGACAGTGGCATCACCTTGGATGTTGCTTCACTGATTGGCATACTCGGCCAATCTGACAACCAAATACCAGACCAAGGCTTTTTCACTCAAATCAATCTGGCTCTTGTTTTGGTTTCTATTAACACTGTGTCCACAATTATCATGCTGAAATATATTTTATCTTGTTACATTTCTACACATCCTATGTAGGACAATTTTGTCCTGCTTCTAACAATCATGAACTAACTGTACATGATAATTGTACTATTTTAAATAATTATGCCAGCCAGACATTAACAATTATTTAAAACACAAATCAACTAATTATTGATCCAAAAAAATATTATATGAAATTAAATGCATTTCATTGTGATATTAACACAAAGTCTACCTTTATAGTGCTTAAAAGATTACAACAATATTTCTATTTCCATCTACAGTTTATACAAAATATATGTCAACCTCGATGTTTTCCATCTACAGATATACAAAAATATATGTCAACTGACAACAGTAAATTATTTGATGACAATTTTAATTTCCGGGTTAAGATTCTTTCAATAGTCCACGAAAGCTGTATTCTTAATCGTTTAGCCGCCTTTAGCGACCGTATTAATATAAATTCACTAATTCTCATAATTCTTCACTCCATGCAATCCGCCATCTTGGATGACAAATCCTACCCACGTGCGTACCCTAGAGACGAAATCGCTGCGCAAGCAAGATGCGCAGAACGGCTCAACCATGTCGGGTTTTGGCAGGCATCTCACCGACTTTCTGAAGTACGTGAACTACGAGATGCCTGCGGAGGAGGCTAGGTCAGTATGGGATTATCCCAGACAAGAGATAAGTCATCAGTGTACAGTAACGTACTATAATCTGGTTATATGTTGTGATGTATTTTTACATGTAGCCTAGTTTTACTTGGTGTCCTTGGTTGTCATTTTATATAGGTAAATATATGCATGTACTGTAGTGTATATAGTTCCCAATATTATCAATATTTTCATTGTTATGTAAAATACCCTAAATTCACGTGTGGGAATATATATATCACCGAAATTGCAAATATTATATATAGTCAGCTCTGAGTACGGCTTGAATAACGAAAATATCTAAATTGTTCATGTAAAACGTAAGGTGCACTGCAAAACATGTATCGCCGTCTATGGTTGTAATAGTGACAGCTAACACACAAGTGAAATCTGTTTCTTGATCAATTTTCCAAAGGGCAAATCGGTAGATCAGCAATATAGGAGAAAAGCGTGGATTCAATTCTGTATAAGCGCAAAGCATTAAACCATCGTCGCGACGATGTGACTAGAATTGGAATATATGCTCACTTCATTTTGCCGAAGACGCGTATGAACAAGGACAGTCACCAAAGTTTTTAACGAATACAGTGCAATGAAACGTTTAGAATACAATTGAAAAGGAAAGCGTTGCCAAGTAATAACTTTACTTACAGTACATACTAGCTTCAATTGCGGCATACTGTTTCTACAATGGATTGACATAAAAAGACACAAAACAGCGCACGCGTGCACCTAATATACAATATTTAACGGCATGGTTGAAAATAAAAGAAATCCATTAAATAAATGATTATAAGTAAACCACAAACCAAAGGTCCAAGACGCGTGTAGAGGTCCTATATTTCTACCTATCCCAAAATTAAAATATTGCTTGTTTTTCTCCTACTTCTGGTTCATATTGGTATGATAACACTTTTCCTACTTGGTTCTCGTGAATATTTTCCATTAAAATGACTCAAAAGCATTAATTTTTTGAGAAAACGTATCAAATCTCGATACACGCTATACAAAAATATATTGTTGTTTTGATTCTACCCTGCCATCTACGTCATACGGGTCATATTACCCAAAAGATAATTTTTCGCAAATACGAGCCAAGATGGCCGACGTCGACGATATATAATTTAACAGTGAAATAACATGCATATAACTCCTGAACAAAAATGTTTGACACGGTATTAATATCATATTTATAGTTAGATGAAGCAACACTTTAATATAGACAATAAAAAATTTTGTTGCCATTGTCCTTTAAGACCCCTTCGCCAGTAAATAAGAGAAAACTCAAGACGAATAACACAATATAAAGGATATATTATACAACACGAAATCACAGATGTTCGCAAGCGCCGAGCGGGGCTTAATATATTTATATTGTCAACACTGTTCGAATGTCAATCAAAATACGTCACTGTCTGATGTGACGTACTTCCTGTAACTTTAACATATTAATAATGCTAATCAGAATACGTCATTGTATGTGTGACGTACTGTAACTTTAACATAACAATAACAATAACAATAACAATAACAATGTCAATTGTGGCGTGGCCTTTTTCTTCTTCTTCGCCTTCGTTTTAACCATTACGTTACCAAGTCTCATATTCAAAGTACTTTGGTGGATTCCGGTCACGTGGAAGTCTGGTATTAGAGTTGAGATCAGAATCAGCAGCGGGTGAACAGCCTTGCGATGATGTTGCGTGTGGAAATAGCTGTGAACCTGGGAGAGTTAATACTGGTGGTATGTTTGTTGGCTGGAAAGGTGAGTTGGAACCTTGAACGTCGTCTTCGCTATCTGTGTCAGTTGTACGGCTAGGTGGGACTTTTGGTATCTGACTTGGGATCAGGTGACATTCACTGATTCTTACTTTGTAAGCCAAAGCTCGTAGTTGGTTACCAGAAAACTTTCTGACAAAGCACCATGGCTTATCAACAGACACAACCAAGTAGCGGTTTCGTGGCTGAGTCTTGTCGTGTTCAGCGGGTAAATATATGAGATCTCCGACATGTATTTGTGAAGTACTTTTGCCAACCGTTTTGGTGTTCTTCGACCTTTCGCTGTATGGATGGTTCCTTTGACTGGTCTTGTGTTGGTTGATGATAATGTCCCTGTCTTCCAATGGAAGTTGCTCATGAGTAAATTGGTTTCTTTGTGTCCATAGTTCGTGGGCAGATATACCTTCTCTGCGCAGGCGTGCGTTGAGTCGTGAAACAGTAATGGCCAGGCCGAGTTCTGTAACTGGTCCGCCGTTAGGAACTTGCCGAATAAGTTCACCTTCTAATTCCGCAATTGCCTTTTCAGCTACGGGGTTCTTGTTGCTGTTTTTGATGCGACCGATCTCTATGGATATGCCAAGCTGTTGGAGTATACCGTCGTCTTTCAAAGAGACAAAGCCTGGGGCGGGATCAACTCTAACCGTAACGGGTGGTCCACTTAGTGGTCGTAATCCAACGCATAAGCGTGCTAAATTGTCACGGAGTGTCGCGCTCTTTTCATCAGGTATAATGCTTGCTGATGTGTATGATGTTGTAGTCTCACGCAATACCAGAATGACTTGCTTGCATCGCCTGAGAACGTCAGCTGCAAATGATACGCCAACTATGTCTGGTGGGTTTTCCGAGGTGTGTTTCGTCAAAGTCTCGGGGAGCTTGCGTAATGATGCGCATGTATGACATGTTTCACAGACGTGGTCGATTACTTGAGGCATGTCGAGAGCATAGAACTGGCGTTTCATGACTAGTTGTAGTTGATGCTTCGAAGGGTGGTCTAGTTTTATGTGCAAAGCTGTCACAAGTCCGTCTAGAACAGTGCGAGGAACGATAATCAGATCGTTGGACGGGGAGAGAGGAGTTTGACGGTGTACGACTAATAGACCGTCTTTCGCGATGGTAGCGACGTTAAGGTATCGTTTTACGTCTTTGATGTTGGTAATCTTTTTAGACGGACGGGTACCTTGCTTAAGATGGGCATGAGTACGTCGGAGTTCCGGGCATTCTGACTGGATTTGAATCCAGGCTGAGCGAGTAGTGAATGGGAGACCAGATAACCCGCGGATATCTTGAACAGATGTGGACCGGACCACGGAATCTTCCGTGAGGGCGACGAAGTTGCAAATCTGGCATCTTGGCTCATTGCATTCTGGGGCATTGCGACTGGCAAAGTCTGATGGAACATTGGCAGTACCCGCTAGATGACGAACGTTGACCTGGTACCTACTGACGATTAATAAGAAGGAAGTAACTCGAGGGCTCGCCGAAAACTCGCCGCGACATAATTTTTCAAAACCCTGAACACACGGTTTACTGTCCGTTAATAGACATGCTTGGTGGGTGGATTGGATAATGAACGGGCTGAAGTGCTTAACTGCGGCAGCGATACTAAGTGCTTCAATTTCGCAGGGTAACCAGGAGACTTGATGTTTTCGTAGTTTTGCGCTAAAGAAGCCAGCGAGATGAAGCTTCTCGTTGCGGGTGATGTATAGGGTGGCCCCGATACCGTGTTTGGTAACTGATCCGTCAGTAACGATCCAAAGTTGATCAGATGGTCGTGGTAGAGTGATGGATTTCCGTGTAGTGAGGTTAGTTTGTGCAGAGCGGAACTGTTCGCGTAACGTATCTGTCCACAGTATGCGCTCGCCTGACTGTTGACCTGCAATGGCGCTGTCCAGTGGGGCTATGATGTGTGAACACTTGGGTAACACTCTGCCCAGGACTTTATATGCGCCAATAAATGAACGTAAACCACGAACAGTGTCAGGTGGGGGGCACGATGACAACGTGGCAATGCGATGTGGGCTGGCAGATAGACGCCCTTCTGTCCATATCCATCCAAGTATGGTAGTCGAGTGGGGGCAGATAATGGTCTTTGAAGGAGAAAGATGGAGATTGCATTTCTGAAGAGCTTGTACGATGCGACGCCAATTCTCGAGAAGGGCTTCGGGTGAGTCAGCTCCACAGTAGAGATCGTCGGCAAGTTTGGCTGCGTTACCGTCCTGCAGACAATCTTCCAGTACACGACCAATTAGCTTCTCTAGGGCGGTTTCCGATCCGGGCATTCCCATCGCGCAGCGTGTATAGGCTCGTATACCACGAAACGGTGTGGCGACGCCGCAATATTTCATCGAGCTTTTCGACAGCGGTATTTGGTAGAATGCACTTGTTAAATCAGTTACTATGATGTACTTCCACTGAGGAATAGTGCGTAGTGTGGTGTCGACATCGGGTAGCAAAGATGGCTGAGGCTTGCTATGACGCCCAACGTCGGCAAAAGCTGTGACCAAACGATGTCGACCGGTTGGTTTGGTAACAAGGAACGAGGGATTTAGATGCTCTACTGTTATTCCAATGTCCTCGGGCCGTTTAAATACTCCTTGAGCTTCAAGTTCCTCGAATTTCTGTTGCAATTCTACTAATTTATTATAGGCATACTGTGGAACACGACCCTTTCGTTGAGGGGGTTGGACCGGACCCATGTTAACCACAGCTTCGAATGGACCAACTGCGCCATTGTACCCGGTGATGGTGGGGTCGAATACGTCATCTTTCTCAGCTGGCTATTTCACGTGACAAATTAGTGCAATTCATTTCCGTGCAAATTTCTCCGCGAGTATTTGACCTTTCACAGAGCACGATACATTGTTTGAAAGCTTATGAGTTCTGCTATCGATGAGTGATGGTTGATTTTTATTTGAAATGTGTCACCTGACCAAAAACTGCATAAATTGGCATAAATTATGCAAAAATGTAGCAATTATATGTTAATTTAGCCTCATTGCGATGAAATAACGCATATTTTCCAACGCATTATATTTATGAAAAGTTAGCTTAGGTTATATGGTATATGTGAGCCAAGTTTCATAATAATTGACCAACAGGAAATATATTTTTTTATTTTTGGAAATTCGCCCTTCAGAAATAGCAGAATCTTACCTTTGATTCCATTGGCATGTCTCTGATCTTGTAACCATGCCAGAGCCTCATATAAATATATATTTACATAGTGGTAGTAGTGGCCTTTTGGAATTTAACCTGCCCTACTTATTTTCTTGAGTGAGATCCTCGCTATCATTGGTCGAAATGAAGGTTCTAAGCAACTAGGCAACTCAATTTGGGAAATTCGACCACCATGAAAAACAAAAAATGTGTACAACAATATAATTTTTAGAGTAGCTGACACCTTTATGTTCTGCCAGTTCAAGGGACAATTTTCCAATTGATTGGGGAAAAGAGACAGTTTGCACAGGCACGCACAGGTTTTTGAATGACGCTGCTTGAAATGCTACTTCGCATGATATTACAAATTCACCCACAACACACATCTTCTTTCAATTTTTAATAATAAAGCAAACAATTACATTTAATATGTACATGAATGTAACACAAATAGTAAATAAAATGTTATTAAAAAATGAAATGTATGTCAAACATTGAACTGTAATCATAATGGGAAATATGATACAAATTTTCATTCGTTTGACAAATTTGATGTTGGACATAATCGTGAGCATACTACCTAAACAAGCAAAAGCAGAAATACTCGTGATCATGTTCTCTTACCAGTATAATCACTACTATGCCATACCTCAAAACAATCATACCCAGCACCAACATGCATATGTTTATTATTGCACTGCGGAGCACTACAATAAGTGGTGATATGCCTCTGCCCCAAACCTTTCCCGTAACGAACAACACAATGCTTCCTACTCTCAGCCGTCTTAGGGATATGGACAGTACAGAACAGATCATGACGAGGAACAGCCTGCACTGCCTCATACACAGGAGGTCTATCATACTCTTCCAACCCACAAATCTGTCTAACGATCTCCTCCCTAAAATTAACTATACTATATGTAGATATACGATGCAAAGCCGGATTACCCAGGTCAGTTGCACGATGCTTCTGAAAAAGAAGAAAACCGTTAACAACTGCCATATCTACTAAGTGGTAGAACAAAGTCTTCCACCATCTATAACACTTACGGTATACATTATGGCATGCAAGTATTTGATCTGACCTATCTACTGCATTCATGTACTGATTATATCTATAAAATGCATAGGGCTGGTCTACATCTACCCGTTCAAATGCACCTCCTACCTTCGTTCTTCTCCTTGCAACCGCTTTCTCATTCGCGGAATCAATTGTGTTTCGTAATCTTATGAAAATTGGGATGTAACGAGATTTCAATACAAGGATTCTAATGGTGGTATTGCTGTCTCAATAGCTTTCAATCGAGCGAAGATATAGCCCAACAAAGTTCAAGACATGTTTGTTGTGATCAACATCTGATACGTTTTTATAAAAAATACATATCTTACGGATTTAAAAGATGATAAATCGCTTCAGTCGCATTGTAAACAAGTAAAACTAGCTCTGATAGGAGATTTTGAAACGGCGGATCTAACAGTGGTATTTTCGTCTGCATAGCATGCACCAAACCGAAGATATGAATCGGCGAAGCCGTAGACCGTGCACGTTCTACGTTTATAGGGGCCAGCTGAGAAAGAGTTAACCACAGCTTCGAATGGACCAACTGCGCCATTGTACCCGGTGATGGTGGGGTCGAATACGTCATCATGGGCTTCTAACAGGCTGCGGAAGCTTTGACGGGTGGTAGGTGGAAGAATGTTGTCGGGATTCACGGTTACACAAGAAGAATGTGAGGATGCAAGAGGTTTAGGGGTGACATGTGGCACAGGATGCTGAGGGAAGGGGAGTGTGTTCTCCTCGGGGTCTAGAGTCTGGGTGAAACGAACTTGGCAAAAATGTTCATGACGGGATATGTTCTTAACTATTGATGTATCATTCAGTATGCGGACTCGTCCTGCGACAGCTTCGAGAATATGTGGGCGTGGCCAATCACTCACGGATTTAGAGCAATCTGGGCGTGGCTCCACGGCAAGGGTGCTATCTGGGTCAATTTCACGAGGAATGGGAATCTCTAGGTATTCACCGGACCAGATCACTGTAGGAGTTGGTGGAGCTCGAAGAACGTTTGCCTGGGTACGTCTAACAAGGTGTTCCTTCCGATTGGGAAAATGTGTATTGTAGTGGGTGACGTCTGTACCCTTGATTGTAATTTGTTGCTTCGAGGGTCTAATGGAAATGTTATTGGTCACCATAAAGGGGGTTCCCGCCTAAACGTCAACGTCTAAATTGTTTACGACCAGGGCATCAAGATGGAGGGTGCGGGAGTTACGTGATAAATCCAGATGGACTTCACCAACAACGCTTAGTGGAGTAATTCCGTCAGCCTGTAGAGCTGTTTGTTTGGTTTTTTGGATAGTGGCGCCAATTTTGTTGGGCAATAGATGACTTAATCATACTGGTTTCGGCGCCAGTATCAAGAGTGAGTTGTACCGCATGGTGGTTGTGGAATACTTTCAAGTGCGGGGATTGTTTTGTGCTAACTCGGTAGGCGGTAGACTTGACCCGATTGTTCTTGAAACAGGAGTAGTCATCTGGTTCTGGCTCTTCATGTTGATCAACAATGACTTGTCGTGTGCGAGTTAAATATTGACGGTCTTCGTTAGGAAGAAATGGGCACTTACTTAAGTGGTGTTGGAACTGCGATCTTTTCGCTTGTTTACATATGAGGCAGCACTTGGTTGCCCCTCCCTTGTTGTTACTGGGCTGGGAAGACGCACTACGATTGTCACGCTGTTGTGAGGATCGTCGAAAGGCTGTGCTTAGAACTTTAGCCTCATTTGAAGAATGGATTTCGTCGAGGAGGGCGTCTAAAGCTTGAGATATTTCGGGATTGAGGCTGGCTAGTGTCTGTGATCGGAGTTCTGTCCCGTAACGTTGCTTAACTAAAGTGGGCAAATCTGCATGAATTAAACGCAACCATGTCAGTACAATTATGTTTTCAAGCGAGGGTGTTAATTCTTCGTCCGTGGAAACGTCTTCGCCGTGATGTCGGATATTACCATTAGCTGTGAGTAAATTGTCATCGATAAAACTCAGAAGTCGCTGATATAAGTCCTCGGGGCGCTCATCAGGTTCTAAACGAATGTTATTAAAATCGAGAAAATGTGCCCCGGTGGACTGAAAGCCATAATGTGCACGAATTGCTTGCCAAATTGTCCTCATAGATGTTGAGTTCGTAATACGTGTCGTATTAACAGCTACAGATGCAAGCTGCTTCGTCTTCGACTTGGTGTCTGAGAGTAATTTCTTATCGACTTTGATTGTATTTGTTGAGCTATTCCACTTTATCGGAGCTCTTTGAGAACTATATTGAAATTCTCAGTAATGGACCGCTGCCACCACGCCAGTAAATAACAGAAACTCAAGACAAACAACACAATATAAAGGATATATTATACAACACGAAATCACAGATGTTCGCAAGCGCCGAGCGGGGGTTAATATATTTATATTGTCAACACTGTTCGAATGTCAATCAAAATACGTCACTGTCTGATGTGACGTACTTCCTGTCACTTTAACATATTAATAATGCTAATCAGAATACGTCATTGTATGTGCGACGTACTGTAACTTTAACATAACAATAACAATGTCAATTGTGGCGTGGGATATAGAAGACAATTTGATTGGCTAATGCGCGTGCATTGTGACGCAAAATTGCATTGTGGTCCGTGGCACTGCCTTACTCTTCCTGTGTTTTCCCCGCTTCACCTCTGCTTTTTAGCCGAAAATATACAAAAATACTATAGAGCTTTTAAAATACAAAATTTATCAGAAAGCAAGAAGGAATAGACCAAAGGAACAAAGCGATTTCATCTATATAGTTCTAGGTGTAAAAATGGATCGAGAACTTTGACGTTTCGAACGAAGGCCATACGACTTGTACTGTTAGTGTTTGTAGGCCTATACTCGAAATTCGATATCTTACAACTCGTTTTGTAAAAACCTTTTCTCCTCGCCCTCGGCCTCTCAATTATTAAATCAAGTAGTTTAGTTAAGTGAATATTTAATAGCATTTATATAATAATAGTTTGTATGTATTAGTAAATTAGTTTTAAAATTGTAACAATTAGCCAGCACACCTCTCATGGAAATCAGCAATGTTGATTGAGATTAGTGTGCCTAAATAAAGTTGATCTATCTATCTATACATCGTACTTGACCTTTTACTGTCGGTATTCATGATAAATATAATGTTTGCTGTGTATAGTGTGGACCTACGGTTGATGTCTTTAAAACTGGACTAAAGGTTTAAATTTCGTTGACATTAGATTATTAAGTAAACGTTGCTCTAAATTTATACTCTCCTGTCACAATTTATGGTATAGGTAGTGTTTATATCAGCTGCATCGGAAATTTGGCCAGAAGTGTGAGGCCCAACAGTTTGACGATCGGTTATTTCGGTTTTCTTCGGAAATTGTGGGCCTCATACTCTGCTCAGTGCTCATAAATTACAAACATATCATGCATTCATTTATTTGTTCATTCATTTTCCTTTTTAATAGTTTATATTATAACGCTAATTTGGTCTGTTCTTGTCAAAGATATTTTGATCAGACTCCCCTGATAAAGCGTATAAAGGTGTTAAACGAAGCCAGTGAGCTTGCACTGATCGTTATAGATCAGGCATATCACGTGAGGTTCACGCACTGAGCTATACTATATTCCTGGAGGACTGCTCGGCATGAAGTAGTAATTGCCACTGACCAACTGCGATCCTAAGCATTAAACAAAGTCCTGCACCCCCTGTTTTTACACAAATATTTTAGAGGTTTTCGGGTTGTTTGTGAGCTAGAAAGTTCATTACGGCTAATAGTGAACCTTATGATACTCGAACATGCTTTTAATGAATTATTTTTACTTCAAATTATAAACGTTGTTTATTAACAATTGGCATAAACACTGTAGCAATTTTTATGCCTTTCCCAGATGTATATAAAATATTTAATAGATTCTCACTCACGCGATCTTCATGGGATGGCATGTGCATCTGGTTATTGTGTTTTAGCTTCAGTTGAGGGAGTTCAAAATCTTGTTCACTACTTTCAGCTTACATCATCTACTCATGGCAATGTTTTGAAACCATTTTAGTGTTAAATGCAATAAAAGACTTGAATTGTCAAATAGGAACTTGTCTTCCCTGAATTATCAAAGCAGCATATAAATTGTTAAAGGGTAATTTATCAAGATAAATTGAAGTCTTACTTAAAAGAAAAGGAATGTATTGGGAAGATAAATTCTAGAAAAGTGATCAGATAAAACGAGTTGCCTCAATAAAGGGAAAGCAGGCTTGCTAAAACCTGTGAGTTGAAAAGAGCTCAAAGAAAGAATGAGTCTTCAGAGCAAACACAAAAACGGTTGACTCGAAAAAGGTCCTATAGAAAGAATGAATCTTCAGAAGCAAGAGAAAAAAGGTTAGCTAGACAAAGAGCTAATAGAAAGAATGAATCATCAGAGACAAGAGAAAAAAGGTTAGCTAAACAAAGATCTTATAGGAAGTCATTTAATGAAAATATAACATTCTCAAACAATCTGACCCTAACCCAAACAGAGCGTTTTGTTCATCCAGTGTTTCACAATTCTGTATCTACAGTACAGGACCACACTATGTATGTACTTGTTGTCAACAGTTGTGTTATAAACACAGTGTATGGGCATACAATCTGATCGAATAAGGTTGGTTAACCCAGATATTGCTAAATATTTACAGCACATAAAAAGTGTCGATAATATTGAGTGGCCCATTGTTAAATGCCCATAAAGATCAGTTGCGAATATTTTAACGTACTTGTAAGATGAATTTATTTGTTTACTTTATTGGTAGTATTCTTTGCCCATGGGGACAATCTCACGCTTCAATAGCGTGCTATTAAAACCTGAATTAGTATTGTTAACTTTCATAAACATCTCTCTAACACGACTTTCTGATCTTTAATGCGGTGTACAAGTGACCTAAATACCGCGTCGTGATTTGCTAATTATTCATTATACATTCGGTACTGGTAACAAACCGCGTGATCATTGTGTGATCCATGCGGATTTGTTGAACTGCTTCACGTGAAATTATCTTGTAAAGTTCTAATTTTCCCTAAATTTCCCCTGCCGTTTGACACGTTGACGTAGGCATCGGCATTCCATTATTATTTAATATATAAGCATAATAGCACTGGTAATATAGTACAACTACTAATAGTGTAATATAGTACAAATACTAGTAGAATTTTATCACAAATTCTCATTATTATGACAGTCGCTATAGAAATGTAGTAGTTTCTGCTAGCCACATGTACGCAGTGCGTACCTATTTTTCATCTTTCTTGCAGTCATGAAAACAAACTTTATGTGTGAGTAAATAGAAAAATTATCAGATTTTAATGTGCTATATTTTTTTATCATGTTTTATCTACGTGTGCGGAGTATTTTGGGTTTTGCCGAAGTTCTATATTCGTCAGTTGAGATATAGTTGCAACCTTATGTATTATATGCATACACTGTCAGGGTGTATCAGAAGAAAGTACACAGTTAGAAAAAGTTCACTAAAGTCAGATGCGTGCGACATTTGCGAAAACGTTCAGTAATCCTATGTACTAAAACGTTCTCTGGTACATCTAGCACTAAAATTATTTAAAATGCTAGCGTTTTTAGACTAGGAAAGCCGTTACTAAATAAACCCCAAAATATTTTTCATGGGAAACAAAATTTAATCACACAGAGTCAAAATATGGACTGTCTTACACAAGCCATCAAAGTTTTAAGAAATTTGATGCGGGCGTAGTCCAACGCGAGATCTTCAAAACCTGGATTTTCTCCCATTTTGTTAGTTCAAACGCGATTTCTTTGCATGATTTTAAATTAATTTTATACATCCTCGGATGTTTGCATAAATTACAGTACGAAATTCGCAAGCCAATTCCCAAAGGCCCTTTCACAAAATTATTTACATGCATTGTTTATCTACAAACAAAATCAATCTTCAACATAGGAGGCCATGTAGAACGAAATGAAGGGTACGCTGAAGATTATCATGCAAAGAAATCTCGTTTTGAACTAACAAAATGGGAGAAAATCCAGGTTTTGAAGATCTCGCGTTGGCCTATGCGTGCACCAAATTTCTTGGAACTTTGATAGTTTGTACAAGACAGTCCATATTTTGACTTTGTGTGATTAAATATTGTTTTCGGTGAAAAATATTTATGCGCAAGGCCTTTTTTGGGGGGTTTTTAGTAACAGCTTTCCTACTCTAAAAACGCTAGCATTTTAAATAATTTTAGTGCTATATGTACCGGAGAACGGTAAAGTACTTAGGCTTACCGAAAGTTTTCGCATGTGCCGCGCGCATCTGACTTTAGTGAACCTTTTCCAACTGTGTACACTTTTCTGATACACCGTGTACGAATACACAGATTAAGTGTCACAGATTAAGTGTATACCAGATGTGTAACTTAATAGGACTTCGTCTTCTCAAATTTCCCTATAGGCTAGCAAAATGGCGTCCTGAAAGACACAAACTTTTGCATTTTATTGCGGTTTTCTTTTACATCGAAATTTAATAATAATAATAATAATTTAATAATTTATATTGCGCTTTTTACATACAATGATCAAAAGCGCATTACAATACACTCTATTATACATGCAACTATTAATAATCTTAAATATATACATTTAATGGAGGCTAAAAGCTAGCTTAAAAAGATATGTTTTCAGAGAGGATTTAAAAATTGAAAGAGAACTGATACTCCGAAGGCTTACAGGAAGTGCATTCCAGAGTGTTGGCGCAGCCACACTAAAAGATCTGTCTCCGAATGATTTTAACATCTTCCCCACTGGATGTGAGATGATAATCCCCGAATTGGAACGGAGCGAGTAACGTTCATGTTTCCTTATCTTAATAAGTTCCCTAATATAATCTGGCGCCAAGCCGTTAAGAGCTTTGAAAGTTAAGAGTAAAATCTTAAAATGAATCCTAAACCTAACTGGCAACCAGTGTAGTTCCTGTGAAACAGGCGTAATATGGCTGTACTTGCTAGTAGACGTTAGCAGCCTGGCCGCAGCGTTCTGAACTCGCTGTAATTTAACTATGTCACAGTCCGGCAATCCATAGAGAAGTCCGTTGCAATAGTCAATTCTACTTGTAACAAAGGCATGCAAGATCATTTCTAATTGATCCTTTGCAAGGAATTTACTTATGCGCTTGATTTTATGTAGCCAGCAAAATGTAGCACCACAAGACTTAGAAATATGGGTGGACATGGATAAATTTGAATCAAACCAAGAGCCCAGATTACGCGCTTCCGAAACTGGCTTGATCTCGGTATTGCCAACGCGAATCGTACAAGGGTTAACTTTCAAAGTCTGTTGTCTAGATCCGATGATAAGAAATTCAGTTTTATCGTCATTTAACTTTAGCTTGTCCTGATACATCCATTTCCTCAAGTCACTAATACATCCCTCCATGGCAGACACCGCCTCCGTTTGATGAGCGGGATTATTAGGATTGAATGACTGGTATAGTTGCGTATCATCGGCAAAACCATGGGAATCAGGGAGGTGTGCTTGAACAATCTCAAAAAGCTTTGAAGCGTACATAACTAAGAGAAGCGGACCAAGGCAACTCCCTTGTGGGACCCCGAAGCGCACATCACAGCTTTCTGATGTAACTCCGTCAAACACGATGTGCTGGCTACGCCCAGACAAATATGAAGAAAACCACTCTAGAGCCTTTCCCCGAATACCAAAACTCGAAGACAAGCGTGACAGTAAAATCTCATGATCCACTGTATCGAACGCAGCACTTAAATCCAAAAGGACAAGTAACGTAACGCGTTGCGAGTTCATATTCATAAGAATATCGTTAGCAACCTTGAGTAGCGCTGTCTCTGTGCTATGGTACTGACGATAAGCTGATTGTAGTAGAGGATAAAGACCTGACTGAACCAAGTGGTCATAAATCTGATTAAATACAGCACGCTCAATGAGCTTAGAGATATAAGCTAAATTACTAACAGGACGCAAGTTCATAAACAGCGGGTCAAGGCCCAGTTTCTTTAACAATGGTTTGACTACGGCCACTTTCCAGTCCTCAGGGAAAACTCCTGATTCCAATGAGGTGTTAATTATTTTAGTGATCACTGGTATAAGAGACTCGATACATGATTTTAGTAGAGGCGTGGGGACAGGATCAAGACAGCAGGATGTGGATTTAGAGTTGGCAATGAGCATGCGCACATCGTCCTCCGTCAGCAACGCAAATGATTCAAAACAGATGGATCCGGTGGGTCAGGTATAGTGCCACTATAATCCGGGACATCGTTCGTAGTCGCGATACACAAATCGAGCTCATCTCGAATCCGAATAACTTTCTGCACAAAATATATCCCTAACTCGTTTACCAGTGCTGTCGTATCCGTGTAGTCAGAGAAACATAGCGTGTTTTTCTCAACCAAAAGGTCTTTCACAGCTCGAAATAATTTACCTTGATTGTCCGCATTCTGATCAATGAAGTCAGTGAGAAATTCCGATTTAGCTACTCTTAGCAAATGAGTTCCTCCATTTCCTTTCAGCTCGTCGACGCTCTCTCTTCGCTACACGAACTTCCTCCGAATACCAAGGCACTTGAGGTCTAATCGTAACAGTCTTGGTTTTGAGAGGAGCATGGTTATCCAATAAATCTGCTAGTGTGGTATTATAGCAATCTACTAGCTTGTCTAGCTCAGATGGAGGGTGCTGACACAATTTAGTAGCAGACAGATCCGCCACGAATGTGGTTGTATTAATAGCTTTCGTTTTCCTAAAAGTTACCTTCTTCCTTGACAGTCGCGGTTTGGAGATGTTTATGGAGAATAATATGGAACAATGGTCAGAAAAATAGATATCAGGTTGGATTTCCTTTAAGATATCAGAATCCAAAGTTCGGGTTACCAGCAGATCTAAAGTGTTACCAGAAGTATGCGTGGGGAAATTAATGTGTTGCTGTAAGCCCATTGATGAAAGGAGATCGAGAAAACTACCACAATCGTTATCCAACTGCTTGTTGACATGGATATTAAAATCACCGGCTATCAGAAGCGGCTCGATCGTCATGACAACAGATTCCAGAAAGTCAGCGAATTCAGTGATAAACATATTCACAGTAGCCGGGTGATTGAACGAGTAAGGAGGCCTATAGATTACAACAAGGCGTACGCGAGATGAGCCAGAAACAATAATATACTCTGAATACTCAAAAGAGTTGAATATACCCGCTCTTGCTTGTTTAATTACAAGTGAGTCCCGCGCTAAGATGCCAGTGCCACCACCAATTCTATGTGGGCGAGGATGGTTAAACAAGCAGCATCAGCAGATTTCAGCCAAGTTTCAGTAATAACGGCAATATCGATTTCCGAATCACAAATATAGTCAACAAATTCAGGACCTTTGTTTCTAAGTGATTGAGCGTTCAATACGCAACACTTAATTAGTCGCGCTGTATTGTTTATAACAATAGCCGGTGCAGCCAGAGGAATTTGCACTAAATTTGAATAATGGCGAAATCGATTTCTTGGCGTAGATTCTGTTCTGTTTGTGATTATAATTTCGATCGTATTCGACAATTGTGGGCCAGGATTAATAGATATGTCCAGATACATGGTAATGTCAATAGGAGGATCATGTCCGGCCACCAGTAGTGTAGTTTGGCCATGTTTTGACCATCTGGAGAGGCTCATGCGAGTCTTTCGAGATCCATGCTTCAACAGGGAGACTTTTCCAAGTCAGCCAAGTCCGATAATAACTGTTTGCCCACATACATCGCTCAACAGTGATGGAGAGATTTTGTTTTCCCATATGGTCTGTACCATAACCTTAGGAAACTCTTCATGTCGGTCAAAAACCGTAGGACGGTAATTTAACAATATAAATATCGAAAAAACTAGCGGTCCAAAGCTCACAACAGCTGCCTTTATGGATTAAACAATCAAAAGCATCATTTGTTGAATGTCTAAAGTTGTTGAAAGCAGTTAAAGATGTAGAAAAGGTGTTGAAAGCATTTTTGAAAGCAATGACATATCGGCCAAATGACGAATAATCACACAAGCGACACTTGCATGCTAGGAAGATGGCGACCATGGGACAACATTTTTACTGAAGTTACACATCTGTTCATACTTAATCTATGATTGAGTGCTTGCGGCGCGCGACAAATGACAGAGGAATTGGGCGAGCTTAATATAAATTTACGTGCATTTTTGGGCTGCCTACCCGTCTCGTTCCCCGAGCCTGCGATCCTTGGGAAGGAAACGAAGGCTCTGGGATAATCGGAATCAGACATACAGAAAACTGTATGTCGACCGAACTGCGCATGCGTTGGCAAAAGCAAAACAAATTGTTTGAAATATTTTATTGTTTCGTCTATAAAATGACTATTTTTTCCGGGTTTTGGTGGAAATGTTGATGTTCTTCATAGTGGGGTACAAAAGGTGTGTTAGCGACTGGATAAGGAAAATATTGCGTGTGAAACAGGGTCAGTATAGAGCCGGCAGGAGCCGCGAAGAGTGTTGTTGTCGAAGAAAAATGTCACAATTAATTGTAATCTTGTCCATTCACCTCTGTGTCAGTTTGAAAAAGCTTTAAATGTAGAGACATTTGTGGTTCGTCCAGCATAATTTAGCCGTTTAACGCTATTATGTCTCTAATGGTTGAAAGAGCGCGTGGAAAGGGCAATTTAAGAACAAAAACAATTACAATGACTGTGTGTTATTAAATTGCTACTGTAGACTATACAGGGTGTATAAAAAAAACCTGAACAGATTTAAAATTGCTCTCAATTTCGCAAAACAGCTATTTGTAACCGTTTTTTTATATATATAGCCTCTTTGGGTACTTATAATGTAGATAATGAGAAAAATTTCTCGAACTCAAATTTTGTGAACCAGGGGGGGGGGGTGTCTTTTCCAACAAACTAAAAATGGCTCGCGCACAATATTTAAAAGCTGCAATCATATTTTGAGTTAACAGATGGAAAATTTGTCGGGTTTTTAATTACTGTACAAAATTTCAGACAATTTGGTTTAGTTTAAGCTCCTTAACTATTCACGCAAAGTTACGTTTTTCCTAAAAATCAGCTATTTGCATGCTTAATTAATGCTAATTTGCATATGTCAGCAATATGCAAATTAGGTAAAGGCATTAATTAAGCATGCGAAAGGCTGACTTTTTAGAACAAAATGAATAGTTAAAGGGCGTAAACTAAACCAAATTGTCTGAAATTTTGAACAGTAATTAAAAATCCGACAGATTTTCCATCTATTAACTCAAAATATGATTACAGCTTTTACATTTTGTGCGCGAGCCATTTTTAGTTAGTTGGAAAAGGCACCTCCCCTGGTTCACAAAATTTGAGTTCGAGAAATTTTTTTCCATTATTTTACATTATAAGTACCCAAAGAAGCTATATATATAAAAAACCGGATACAAATAGATGTTTTGCGAAATTGAGAGCAATTTCAAATCTGTTCAGTTTTTTTTATACACCCTGTAGTATTAAAAAAGTATACCTGAAAAGAGTCTCAATTCTAATGTTAAGTCGGTTATAAACCTTGATAATATTGAGTTTTCAGAAGATTTGTATATCAGAGGAATATTAAAAGGAATTTAGAATTTCGAATTTTTACATATCATTAAAAATATGAATATAGTGAATTCCATGTTTATATTGTGTTATCATCCCTAGAAATTGACAGTTTATAAACCAAATCCTTGTTATATTTTTTGAACTGCCCTTATAGCTTTCCTTATATGTTTTAATATTTGCCAGCAGTTTAGTAGGTTAGGGATGCAACAGCACTTTTCAAATTATTGAATTATAACCAAATTTTGTGTCTGGATAGGAATTACTATTAAAGATTTACAGTTTGTAATGACAGAGTTGGAGTAAGTTAAGCTGCAATGTGCCTCAGTTTGCCCTACTTTGTTATTTTAAGCTGTTTAACGCCAGAATTTTTTCTCGTCAAGGGGAGAGTATTGGACTTGGTATTTGAATGGGTTAACCAGTCCATCTGCATGTGTACCTACCTTTGGTTAATTATCTCATTAGATCATTAAGCCACAATGCTCTTTAGTGCACCCTATTTTGTTATTTCACTGTACTTCTGGACAATATTTCTCATCAATGGCCCGAAATGTACTTGACTTCATGTTTGATTACTGCCATTAATTAATTAACTACTGTACTAAATAGGACATTCAAGGTTGGAGATATAATAGCAATAGAGGTTGCTATCATTGTAGCATTCAGGGGCATCCTAGCCCAAATTGTCAGCATTTGGAAATTTATTGTATCGCAATCGGGGAATTGTTTTTGTGGCCAGCATGATTTGAATTGGATAGGAAGGAAAAAAACTGAAATATATGTAGGTATGTGTTGTTTTATAGTGTAAATAACAAATTTTGATATTGCAATCAAACTGACAGGGTTGTTGTCATGACCATGGTAATAAAAATATTTCTATGGCTCGGCATTTATATTGGGCAATTTTTTATCATTCATCACAAAATTATACCTGCAGCCTAGGTGGTTCCCTGCAGGCGGTCATAATCAGCCAGGGGGAAGCTGATGAAAATGAATTTCTGGTATTGGTGCAGAGACGGATTTTCATATTTTCGTTTGGGGGGTGGATAAATATCTGGAGGGGGGTGCTGCTACTTGCTTTGGCTGGGGCGTGGTGGCAACGCCCTGAAAGGCCAAGGAAAAAGTTTAACAAAATTTGTTTTCTAGGCCTGCATGGCGAGATCTGAGGCCATAATATTGGTAATTTTACAAATTTAGTAGTAAGAATAATCAGATATGAAACTATCAAATCAAAATATATGTAATTTGCGGGGGTGCCAAATGCCTTTGGGGGCGGGGGGGGGGATTGCAAATCATTTCTGGGGGAGTGCACACCACCCAGAAAATCTGTGCCTGTATTGATGGCTGATCACCATCATTTAATATTTTTGTGAATAGAACATTTCTTAAAAAAAGTATATGAATTTATTAAAAATATTTATATGGTCTCCCAATCTGGAATTCATACTTTGTAACATTTGGATCAAAAGGTTTATGACGTTTTCTTGGACAGAATCCAATTAATATAACCTCGTACAGAGGGCAGGGCTTCTTTGAATTACTGTGTGGACAAGATTAACGAAGGGATTGCCAATTTGGCATATTATACTACTCAATAAATTAAAATCATTAAATATATTATTGTGTTTCATATGACGTCATAAATTTTTTTTTTAATTTTTTTTTTAGTTTTATATTTTAGTTTTATTGATCCATCTTTAGTGTAAAAATACAATGGATTTACAGTTAGTAAAGTCTAAGTAGTAGTCTAGGAGTTATATATACAGATAAAAATTTTAGGAGTAGTTATAAAAATATTGTCTATAATAGCGAGTTTGTTCTCGGAATAAACGATAGTTCATGCCTTTTAGTGTATGAGAGAAATTGTGGAAGAGTTTTTGGTGTTCTTAAGTCATACGTGTTCGTCACTATGTCAGGTATATATTTCCTGCATGGGTGCGTTCATCATTAATGATTTTCTTGTACTCACGAATGGCAAGATTATCTCGACGTTGCTCTAGAAACTGAAGAGAATCAGAAGGTAGCCCAATAATTTTCAGGCTTCTAGTCTGGATACTCTCCAGTTCGTCTGGTGGTCGGAACGGCCGATCGGTGGCAGATGTTGAACATCATTGTATAGCTCTGGCATATTGGTAAGGATTTTGTCTAGAGTATTTCTACCTCTTGTAGGAGCCCGTACGGTTTTTTAAGGTTGAAACGTCTACATAGTGGGTTTAGTCTCATTTTGTGGAAATCTCCGGCGATAATTACGCCAGCTGAAGGGTGGTCCTGCAAAATGTTGTCAAGTCTGTTAGTAACATACTCGTACATTGCTCTTTCATCTTCAGTTGTCTGTCCAGGTGGGTAGTACACACCAATAACTATTATCGCACTATAGGGCCTGGGGGTTCTGGGCGGTTTAAGTAAGAGCCATAGAACTTCTTTCCCATCCTCTTCAAGATTTCTTAGGCGGGTAGTTGGTATTTTGTTATTTACGTAGGCTAAGACACCACCACCAGGCGTGAAACGATCACGACGATGTGCATTGAATTTATTGCTTATTTCCACAGCAGCATCCGGGATGTTTGAATTCAGCCAAGACTCTGTAATTATGATCAAGGAGGGGTTATTGACTGCAGCAATTCCAGAGAATTCAGTTTGTTCGTTACATGACATGCGTTGGTTAAGTATAGATGGAACTGAGTAGGCAATTGATGATTCACATATATTGTTTTTCCTTATTGGAATAAGTATTAAGTTGCGACTGAGTTTTTGGTTAGTAGACCTCTGTACTAGTCGACGGTTGGTTATTCTAACCGGGATGGTTTCAGACTCATTATTCAAACGATTAGAAATTGGACCAAAAGATGTATATGCCAAGTCAGGTATTACGTACTGGTTCTGGTTATTTGGTTGACTAGGTCCAAATGTTTGAGCCAGTCCGGAGGGCGACGGTTCGAACGATGTTGCCGAAAATTTATCAGTTTTGGCCGCAGGTAATTATTTGTATTTGTTCTAGAGAGAGAGAGAGACTGGATGGAATTTGGTGGTTCAGAGCACTCAACATGCCAATTAGTTTCGTCTGGATCGTTGAATTGAGCATTAGTCGCTTCCTTAATTTCAGATTTATTTCTGTAAGAAACTTCGTCTGTCTCATTTGGTTCTAGGGGTTCAAGCAAAGGTAGCCATTTCAACCATTCGTGTGGTTGTTTGCTAGGTAGAATTTGTTTATATTTCTTTTCGCTTTGATCCTGATCGCTATGTTCTATCCTGTTATTCGTGTCGCAGTGTGCGATGTCCGTTGTGCCGTTTGACATTTGTTTTAGACTATTAATTGTATTCAATGATGTTTTATGGCCTTTGTATTTGGTGTTAGGTTTAGGTTTAATTCTGCGTGTGACACTTTGTTCAGGAGAGCAATCGGCATCTCGAATAGCTTTGCCTTGATCATTGTATTGAATGTTAGTCGCTTCCTTAATTTCACATTTGTTTCTGTGGGAAATTTTGTCTGTCTTATTTAGTTCTGGGGGATCAAGAGCGGGGTTCAACCACTCGTTTTGATCTTGATTGCTTTGCAAATTAACGCGTGATTGATTTGTATTTTCATCCAAGGCCAAGGGTTTTATCATCGATATTTCGACATTGTTTAATTGATTCAATGGAGGTTGTGTTGGCGGCGAGGCAGTCTTACTCTCATTGTTCTCCAAGGATTTGATGGGGGGTCAACTCTAAATGGAGACACAGTCATCAGAGTGAATTAATTTTTCACTGTATGTGTTGGCCTTGTGTTTGGTGGCAAATACATGCAATTTCATATCATTTGCTCACTCCAGTACAGCATAAGCATCAATACATTTTAGGTTGATCCCCTGTCAGAACGTGCAAAATGCCATACTGGGTGAAACCCAAGAATTCATTATATGTATTAGGTGTATGCAGACTGGAATACAAATTCATATCACTGCCTGTGAAATTGTGGTTGATTTAGAGAATAAAGGTTTTTTGAACTCTTCTATAAAATAAATTATAACAGCAAAAGATTCATATGCACCCATATATGTAAGGGTTATATGCTACAAGTTAAAATGAGTATTACATACCCCTGCACTTGAAAAGTTTACAGTACAATATATATACATTAAATAATAAAATATATAACAGTAAATTCCAAGATTGGATTTATTGAAACTAGTCATTAGCTAGTTCTTCGCAATTAAATAACACAAAGACAAATTAATAAAAGTTATTAACCACTTCTGACACAAATAGTATTTGCAAAATATAGCACATATTTGATATTATAGTCAAATAGTTAATAGCACAGTGTACTGACAGTACTGTATACTATCTATAGATTAAAACTACAGAAAACCTGTACAACACAAATATGAGTAATGTTTTCCCGCTCCATTTAACTGTTATGATATTATACGCATTAAGTATACGTTTCTTTGCATTTCCTTTGTAGTATTAGTATATAGCACAGCTCTGAAAAACCAAAACAATATTCGTACACTCCTAAACGGCCGCCATGTTGTATGTAAAAATATACGGTTAAAAATTAATTTTTGCAAAATTGCAACATTCCATTGTATATCAGCAACCAATCATATTCATTTCTGACATGGATTATCCCAGAGCCTTCGTTTCCTTCCCAAGGATCGCAGGCTCGGGGAACGAGATTGGCTGCCTACATGGCTTGAAACTCGTCGAATTTGTTTTAGCTCGACAAGTTTTGGGCAAAAGCGTGCAAAATAGCCGAGAAAAACCTTCAAAAAGATACAGGAATAACAAAAACATAGAAAAAGAAATAAAACATTGAACATTGAACATTGAACATTGAACATTTATTTAAACACGGTAAAATCTTCAGTGTAGAATAAAATACAAAAACTATTAATAAATTTCAGACATTACTATATACACACTAATTTCCTAACTAAAATGCACTGTTTTCCAAGATTGCCGTGTGGGGATCCCATTATAATGTCAAGAATTGATTAATTTCATTTTTGAAATGCCTCAATGATTTGGACGTACGTGCAGTTTGAGGAAGCGCATTCCATAAACTTGCTCTACTGTAGCAGAAACTACGCTTCATAAAGTCCGTACGTGGTTTTGGTAAATTTAGCTTCATTTCTGCATTTCTTAAGTTATAATCTGTGCTGCGAAATGTAAACATGTTTTGTAAATACTCTGGCGTTAGCTTATTGATGCTTTTAAACATTAGTATAGACTTGTGCTTTTTCTTACGTAAGGAAAGATTGTCCCAATGCAGTTTCTCTAAGAGAATGCTAGAGCTGACATCGTAGTTGGATGTCGTAATCACTCTAGCAGCTCTATTCTGCAATTTTTGCATTTTTTCACATAATGTTGCGCCAAATTCGTCCCAAATGGGACTACAGTAATCAAAGTGAGGTTGAATTATAGCGTTGTAAATTTGGATTGCTGTTTCAGTTGATATAAATGGTTTATTCGCTTAAGAGCACCTATAGCGGAAGAAATCTTTTTACACTTCATATCAATGTGTTTAGACCAAGACAGATTTTTATCAATAATTACACCTAGTGATTTTGCCTCATCAACTTGTTTAATCACATGACCATCCAGGTCAATATTGATATTTTCGTTAGTGTGCGCATGCATACGTTGTCGAGATCCTATTATCATAAATTCTGTCTTGGCGATATTAAGGCTTAATATGTTCGCTTCCAACCAGCTTTTCAATTTTTTTAATTCCGAATTAATAACTTTCTAGTTCGGCGATAGTGTTGGCCGCATAACTAATGTTCGTATCATCAGCAAACATTCTCGGTACTGCTGCACTGAGACAATTAGGAAGGTCGTTAATATACACAAGGAAGAGTAATGGTCCTAAGTTACTTCCCTGTGGTACACCACGTGTAACTGATGCAGATGATGACAAGCAACCTCTAACTTTACATTTCTGAGATCGACCGGTCAAATAAGACTGAAACCATTCGAGACTTAATTGATCCATACCGTAAATTCGAAGCTTCCGCAGCAATATCTGATGATCAATAGTATCGAATGCTTTTTTAAGGTCGATAAATATTACTCCATTGAAGAGGCCATTGTCAATATTAACTGACCAGTTACTAGTGGCTTCAAGAAGAGCAGTAATTGTACTATGTAACGACCTGAAACCGGACTGGCAATGCGTTAACAAGCTGTTAGAACTGAAGTAATTATAAAGTTGCTCAAAGATTAATTTTTCGAAGATTTTGGCTACAGCTGAAATAACTGATATTGGTCGATAGTTATTCGGATCATTCCTTTTTCCTTTCTTATGACAATTATTTCAAGCAAGATTATACATGATCTTTGTCTTTGAAAGACAAGCGAAATTGTATTGTTAACAAATCGCTCATACGGATGTCAAATGTATTGCTAAACAACAGTAATCTACCGATTTATGGCTGTCTTTGAAAGCCAAGCGAAATTGTATTGTTGATAATTTTGGTATCATTGGTTTTCTCTTTTTCGGCCGTATAACAGTGGATCCGTCTTACTTCTGTCTTCATTTTGACAGTATTTTGAGCCCAAAAGCCCCCAAATTAGTTTATTTTGAACGTTTTATTAAAGCGCAGTGAGCAGCCTAGCGTACGGACCAACTAGTGGCGGCTATGTAGCGTACTAAATATAACTTTACTTGTAGGGCCTACCGCATTTTAGCACTGTGTTAAGCCTTTAAAATTGCGCTCGTATTCAACTTTTCCGCTTAGTAATGTGCGTATTTGTATGACTTGTATAGCCCCAGCGAGTTAACGCTCCGCAGAGCGTCTTGTTTGAAATAAAATATGGACCTAAACAATAAACCAGGCCCTTATTGCCGGCCTGAATGGCATCTTATTCAAATCATCATTTAACTTGAAATAAAGGGATCTCCCTCAATTGATTTAGCCAGAGGGCCAACCCAGCCATTCCTGGATCACTCATATGGCAAACCTTATACACAGTAAACAATGTATTAGCAAACTAAATGGTGTTGTTATATAGCTAGTGTGAACACCAAACGTGATTGGCTGATTTGTAGTCACGTGGGTTTAGATAAATGCAATGTATCCCGCCCGGGCAATAAGTGAAAAATTGTTGCCCGCCCCGACCGGCTACGACGCTACGTACATAAATAAACAAAATGGCGGCACAAATTTATACTATTTAAACTACTGTTTTCGTGGCTTTGTGTTAAAATAAAGAATGTAAAAGAGAAGAAAAATACATAACAGGCAACAGGATATGCTGCTGAAACCATTTAAGTAGGTTTTTTAAATTTTAAACTCGTTTACGCTATAAAGTTTTTGTCATGAAATACAAATATTGTTGTATGAATGTTGTTCAATGTTGATATTTGTTTCGTCGCTATAAAACAAAACACTTAACGTCTTTTCCCTCGGGAAGGAATTCGTCTCGGGAAACATTGAGATTCTCGGGAAAACAAAACTAACTATTTCCCTCGGGTGCAGACATTAAGTGTATATTATTGACTGAAGAAGAATAAATGAAGACTAACTGCATCAGAGTATCAATTTTCTGTCTCCATCATTTTGTAAGTTCAATATTTTTAACCTTACATTAATGATAATGATTATTCAATTAAAGTCAACAATTTCTTTTTCATCCTGAGAACATCCACTTTCAATCCTCCTAAACTTGTTTGACACTCCTTAGCAGTGATATTTCTGTAGATCTGCAATTATTTTATTCCAGATATGAACTCACAGGCCCTATAAATTAAGATTAAATACATAGTGCCATTAATTTACAAAATTGACCTTTGCAATGTTTATGCATGCACTAGTCAATTGAAACCCCGGTCCCCCGGGACAGGACGGGGAATTAGCGGGGGAATGACCGTGGATTAACGCGGTCTTATTGCAACATTTCCCCCGGGGTACAGGGTAAATAACAAGTCAATTTTTTAGCCGGAACAATACCCAAGTCATGAAAATTTCCCAAGTCATGAAAATTTGCAAAGTGCCGGGGCCATAGGGGCGGTAGCTTTAACAGTCAACATTCCCCCGCTAGCAGGGAAATTACTAAAATTTAACATTGTCAAAATGTTAATTTCCCCGCCCCCTATGCCGGGGGTCGGGGTTTCAATTGACTAGTGCATTATGGTGGGATGCAGCCCCAATTGTATGTTTCCCACGATATTTTACATGGCTCATGCCATATAACTTCAGTACATGGTCATTTTTGGATCCATGCCTGGGACATATCATAATCTTGAATCTAATTTGGGTATTCAATCATGTTTAATAGACATAGGCAGTCCACATATGGACTGGTCATGCTATGTCTAAGTGCATGGCTATTGCCAAAATAGCCTCAATCTACATAGACCACAACAAAGGTATAAAAATTACTTACCAAGTGATCACCCATTGTATATCATTTGTCTGACATATTCATAGATCTTTATTTTTATACTTAGCTTTACACTACAAAAAGGATAAAAATGAGACAATAATTACATTTGAGCATAATTATGATCATAATTATCCCCCATAGCCATGTGAGAAATTATAGGTACCTCCTTCATACCTTCCATGCATGACAATTAGAGTCACCTGTTTAACCAGGAAATAAAAGG